TGAACTACGTAAATATCTGTGTGTCATATTTATATTTTTCCGCTGTGTTATTATCGTAATTTTATTGCCGGGCCCTAACAAGAGTACGGGTTGTTGCGCCTCCGTCCCATGGCCCGATGTGTGAGGGGGAGATTGTTAGGTTATCCCACGTCGGTTGTGGAAGGGGCTGGTGATCAAATTATAAGTGTGAGGAAAAGCCTCACCTCTTGAGCTAGCTTTTGGAGTTGAGAAGGCCCAAGATCACCTATCATATACAATTATTGACTAATAGTGTAACCGTCAAAATTATTTACAAATCCAAAAAAGTTAGTAGAAGGAAGTTAACGATTAACTTGGTGTGGTTAAATTTGCCACCGTAAATGTAGAGCGTACTGTGCAGGCCATTGGCACTGAGAGCATTGGTTAAGGAGCTGTCTGATACGTAGAAGCAATGGGTGATAGAGCTAGGTTTTGGAGAGTTGATGAAAATGCCGGAAGTAATGTTGAATAGGAAATTATGATATTGGCTCTACGAGAAATTCAACACAAAGAAAATTTGTCTGGAGTTACCAAGAGGGGTAACAGTATGGATTTTACCAAACCAGGTCGGATAGGTTTTGGGAATCCTATCTGGGGGAAATAATCCTGGCCGTCCTTAACAAAGGAAGGTCCGCCAAGAACTAGTAAAGTGGGTAATTGGCCAGTATGAGGGCTGTAAAACAGTTGTGGAGGCAGAGGTGATAAAAAAAATGAGTAGTAGAGGGAAGAGGAATTCCAGCAAAATTTTTTATTGTATACGCTCAGTGTGTTGTTGTGCCCCACGCAATGCACTAGGTTCAGCCCATCTTTGTTTGAGGTTGTTGCTGATATAGAAGCTGCTAGCGAATTTAATTGGGCAGAATTTGTTGCAATGGCTGGTGAAGAGTGTTCAACGGTTCAACGAAGCCTTATGGAAAAGCGGTAAAGCAAGCAGCCTTGGAGGATGCATCTTATTTCTGAAGGTATGGTAACTCAATATAGGTATTGTTTGTACCCATATATGTTTGAACTGATAAAATATATTTACAAATTATGAAGCTTAGAATGCGTATGGCATGCAGATTTTCTACTTGATCATTTAGATTTAGTATGACGATGAAATGGGACGTTTTCCTAAGGGTTTGTGCATAGGATAGTGAAGTAGCCCGAGATACAATTGCCAGTGACATATGCAATGCAACTGTTTCGGCTGTAGAGAGGTGTGTTTCCTTGGCACGTGAATTGCCATGAAGCTAATGTCGAATAGGAAGCAATCCATACGCTGATCATTGTAGATAGAATAACATGGTTATGTTCATGTATGTGTTAGATACTGTCTATTGGATACGATAAGGCGCACCCGCTGGAGGCAGCTGATTTTGAGTGGAAAACGGTGAGAGTTAGTAGAATGGCCGAATGTTGGGAAGCTTTGACGAGTGAGAACAGGCTGCGGCGGGTAAATTGTAAGCGAGTCCGATAATGTATTGTGAACTGTTGCAATCTAAGAGAGAACATTTCTTTGACCTGTTTAAGTGGTCAATGTTTATATTGTTTACATGTACTGGATCAATTATTAATCATTTTTTTTCTATTATTTTGTCGTGGTAAATAGGTTATGATTGTGACCTTCATGGTAACTATGACCGGGCCGTGATACCAGGTTGCAAACAATATAATTAATAAAATTAGTAAGTCACCATGCAAATGTCGGCTTGCTCACGGTGACAATCGGGATGGCTGCCCTTATCCTGCTGGCGATGACCTTCGATCTATGCAAATGGGCAATGGCAAGAAAAAATGTTAGCTGGCGATGGAAGACCGAGTTCGGCAGTAGCTGCAAGTTACTAATTTACTTCATTTATTTTGAGAATATCATTAAACCTAATTGTAGCTACCATTTTGCTGAGGTGAAAGGATTGCTGAACATTGTAATTTTGATATTCAGAAATCACTTATGTTCTATTTATTCACAATGACTAAAGTCCGTTGTAATTTTGATATTCAGAAATAACTTATGTTCTATTCATTCATAATGACTAAAGTAGGGAGATTGTTGTGGTTAGGCCTGCGATGGGAACATACTGTTACCTTAATATTGTGTGTCCAGTTTATACGTGGATTATTATTATTATTTTTTTTTATGTTATGCCTTAGTAATAAGGCTTTGACCCTTTGAAATGGATATATATAGTTCGATACTAGCGCTTTGGCCTGTCCTTAAGTACAACCCGTGTAGTCAAAAACTATAAGTGTGACGGAAACAGATTATAAGTTCAGCAGGTTCCCGTTGAAAGCGGGATTCATTGACATATATATGAATCAAATAGTTGGTATTTTTTTTCGAACTGAATTCAGTTCAGCAAAACTACCATAGAATAATGATTTGGCAGCATGGTTGACAAGTGGTTGAAAACGAACTCAGTGCTCCCACTGAGTAATGTGGCAGCCAAGATTAAATGCATGACATATTTAAGCAAAGGTAAATTTATAAGCCTTTCGCTGAAGGATAAACCAATAAACTACCAATTATGCCCGCACAGGCACTTGAGCGAGCAATAACCTAACCATATGAAGACACATTTAAGTATTTAATTTTGAATTTTCAAAACTCTAAAGGTGTCTCTTCCTAACAACTCAATCTCCTCAGCCTCCTTCATGAAAGCAGAAAAAGCAGCACTGTGACGTTCTACTCTATCTGCAGCTCCGTGGACCTCATGACACAACACGAAGAGGTCGGCCGACCACGTTTCTATAGTATATTTGTGGAGGTCCTCCACAGCATTGATCCATGTTGTGATCTGACCACATGGTCCATCATATTCGTGACCAGCAAACTTCATTCGTTGAACCTGATCAATTTTGGTTCAGTTCTTGTGGTGGAACACTTCATCATGCCAAATTACAAAATCGCAGAAATCCTCCTGCAATTAACAAGTGGACAGTAAACGTTTATAAATAAAATTCTAAGCTAATGGTCTTATGAACTACGCATCGATAAATGAATGAGAGGGTGGATGCCAACCTACAAGGCAGCTCACCTCCGTCTCTGCGCATCTGTGCAGTATCCGACCCATGAAATCTAGATGCTTGGAAATAAATGGAACTCAAGGGCGGCCACTCAAATAGAGAATGACTGACTGCTTTCGGTCATCGTTGCTGATCGAGTAATTTATTTCTGATTCAGAATTGGAATCTATGTTTGAGTTCCAGAAAGACAGTCATTAAAGGACGAGATGGATGTTGTTAGTGTTAGACTCTGAGATGGCATGCACTATATAAGACGTTGAGATAGCTTAGGGCACAGACTATTATTTTGCGAAGATTTGAAATTCAAAACAAACCCTTCATATGACGCATGGGTTGCATTTGGCGGGATGTATGAAAAGAGTTCCTTACCCTCTGAGTATGAGTAAGTGGGAAGCATTGCTCAATCCATAAATCTCTTCTGCATGTTTTTTTGCGTGAAATCCATTGTGGACCTTGTTTCCGCCGAACATGGAATCTTACGGGCCTCAATTGGCGCCCAATTTTCCAAGTATTTCCCATCGGATATATATATCTACCACTTTCTCTCTCAAGAACTTTATCTTTCCCATCGTTCTTAAGCCTATTGGAGCGGTATACTAATTAAGTATGTCTCATTACCAATCATTCTTGGGTGAGCAAATAACAGTCGGAAGCGTAAGCATAATAATATATAGTTACGGCTTCATTTTCACTTACTTTAGGAATAAATACGCTGCCTATCTTGATATTCATATCTGCTGTTTTCAGCTATATATTACAGTACCTCGGGCTCATAGTGACCAGAACCTTCTAGTCTGCAAAGATCCGTGAGGTGTGCCTCAACAGGTTGATGGATCTGACCAAAAATATCATATACAACGATGTTGTGTTATTATATTATATCGTGGTGTTATTGCCGAAACTTTGTCTGATCACCATATATACATATGCTTGATGATGTCATTGAAATACGTGATGCTAACAGGTTATGATTGCATATAAATATACAACGATGTTGTGTTAATTGATATTTATTCGTGTTATTGCGAAACTTGTGATCACAAAATAGTTTAGGCAAACAAGCATGCGTATTTGAGTTTTATATAAATAAGCATATGTATTCCCGTATAAATGAGTAAAGACATGTAATAAGGGCTACTCTGATATATGAGTCCACAAATGTAGGGAACTGCATGGTCGACCATTCTTTGTCTATGGACAGAAGTAACTAAAATAAATTGGTAAGTATATCAACTTCGTGCCATTAATATACGTTAGTTGATATAGCAGCACCGAAAGGACATTATGTCCAAAACTGTTTGTTCAAGAATGTGGTGGGCTTCGCCCACTATCAGGGGCAGCATTTGGGAAGTGAGCTACTTCCATCAGTGAACATTAGAAAGCCCAAACAGACCATTACAAGGCCCAAACATGGCCCTTTGTTCAAACTCCGACGTCATAAGGTTATAGCCACTGTAAAATAACACTTTTGCTTATAGCCTGATCCGTCCATTTGGAGGTTTAGCTGAGCTTCATCCAGATTGTCTACTTGGGTTCTAGGAGTGAGGTAAGATGCAACCCAACTTTGACTTTTAATAATAACGATGTTGCATTCTTGTTACTTTAATTCTTGGATTTGCGTACGACTATGTTTAATTTGTGTCTTAAATTGAAGCTATATGGATTAGATTATAAATATGGAAACTTCATTGTAGATCTGGGAGACTGGGACCACCGTTCCATATAATGGCTTTTTTTTTTTTTCTTATAATGATATGAATGCACTGAGGTCTGGAAATGGATATCGAGGGCCTTTGGTTGGATGTTTATAAATTATTATGGGGTTTTTCACTAAACAGTAGACCCATTTTTCCCAATGAAGGAATGCCGACTCAGGGAGAGTCTTTGAGTTAAAGCCTTTGGTGATTGACTGTATGAAAGGTTTTACTTTCATAATCCGGTGCTTTGTTATGTTCTTAGTCTTTTGTTTTTTTTAGTTTCTTTGCAGTTTACAGAATCATGAACGAATGCAGCTGCACGGTTCTTGTTACAGATGAGAAAGTGGAATCTGGTTGCTTGGTAAGTAAGGTCCCTCTCTCTGCGCTGCGGAGTTCCATAAATGCACTCAAGGCATAATGTCTGTCGTCGTTAGGTATAATTTCAGTTTTATCTGTGTTTGCAGGTACTGCCAAAGCATTTTTCTCGTATACACTGTAATGGGATATTAGGGATCATATGATTGAAATCCCAACCGGGATCCGTGAAATTTTTCACAAATATCGCATCAAGAAGGGTTATGAATTTAGCATAACTCTCGTTAACCGCGCTATCATTGAGGGGGTTATTTACGATAGGATGGGTGTTTTCGTTAATCAACCTTCTAAGTCGATTTGAGTGCACCTGTAGCTGAAGTATGATGGTCTAGTCCTACCAGAGGATTGGGCTAGCTACAACCTTATTCCTCTCATCGATAATAAAGTTTCCTTTAGTAGTGTAAAAGTGAAGCCCCAAGAAATCAATTGTGAAGTCAGTTAAGGGTGTGCGGTTCAGTGGCTGTAGCATGAAAGAGGGAAAATCACCAACCGCCACCAGATGATATAAGGCTGGATGCAGACGACGTTTAAAAAGTTGCTATGAGGGGGTGCATATGCAGCCCTTGTTGTGCAATCGTTCCCTCGTCGGAGAGGCATTCACTTAATGAAAATGCACTGAAAAAGATGGTGAAAGTTGTTTGTAGAAGTATGTTCGCAACGAAAAGCCTGGTATTTGATATTGCCAACATTTTAAATTCCACATTTCCTTTCTCATCATTATTATAAGTCTCATTCTTTTATGAATTGCGGACTGTGCAGCGAAGATTCTATAGTTGTCACGTGCGATATTGGGGACGAAAAATCACTCTGTTGACGGGCGTGCACGACATTGAAGTGAAACTGTATTACTACACAGGTTTTGTTTGCATTACCGGACTACACAAACTCATCAACGAGTTAGATCTACAGCTTAATGACACATCGGTCTTCCATGTTGGGAACTTAGAAGAGACACTTGATGTGTAGGTGATTCGGCAGATTAAATCTCACGCTCGATGAATGGCATAATTGTGTTGCAACTTTAAGCAGAATATGTTGTTTTCTTTTTTCTTTTTTATCCGCTATTTGGAAAGTTAGTGGTTGGTGGACCTCCGATCGATTGTATGGATTTGTGAGGACTAGTACATGTTTAACGCATATGACGTTTTACTACATGAATTTTGCAGCATTATGATATGTGATCACTTATCATGTATTCGGATGCATCGCACAATCTTTATTTCACTTTCTACACGATCTAGAATTACTTTCAATATATAGGTCCTTAACCAACCCCAATGTGGAGACAAGTGCACGTCAGACAATTTTCTATTCTCGCTGATGAATGTTCCCCTTGAATGCCTTACTCGAACGTTAACTGTACTCCATAGATCTATCAAACAACCCTAATGCATTGTTCAGCTACAAGTGTATTATTTTATGCACAATAATGTCTGGTATCATGCATATATTTTTTAAACATCCATAATGCATTGTTTTTCTCCATATTAGCAACATTAATCAATTATCGGAGCGTGAAATGGGCTTTCAGTGGCTTCGCAGATATTGAACGTCAATAGCGTTCATTCGCCTGGGGCAGATATTGGCACAACGTTTATAATGCACAATATGTAGACTGAATATCATTGTTCCCTACCACGAAATTATTAGGTCAGCTTTTTTTTTTGGGGGGGGGGGGGGGGGGGGTCCCTACCACGAAATTATTAGGTCAGCTTTTTTTTTTGGGGGGGGGGGGGAGGGGTGGGGCTGGCTTTTAAAAACAACATACAATAATATACAGGGAAAACTTATGAAGTCTTCAAGCATTGTTATCATCGGTCCAATGCCCATGATATCGATGCTTTCAAAGCCTTTTAACCAAAATGGGATGATTGTTCCTGATACGTATTGATGCCATGTTCCTTTTATCTCAAAAGCGTGTACATTAGTCCTGTAGGGTGGTTCAGGCTGGATCTTTACACTGTGTTAGAGGCGAAGTGTCCTAGTATCTTAGGACTGAGCACTCACCATAAGTGCTGAGTGCAACATTGGTGGGAACTGTGCATAGAGTTTCTAGTGCTGACGCTGATAGGTATGCGCACATGGAGATGGCATGCTGGAAAGTTGGGGTGTTTAGGCCATGTGCATAGAGTGGAGACGGATTGACTTGCAACAAGGGTGTGTTGTAGGTCTCCGTCAAACACTTTGTTGCAGAAGACGTTCCCTCGCTCTAAGTTCTTTGAAGAGGTTGCGGAGCAGAAAGAGATTTGTTGGATGGTAAGATAGATTAGTATTGCAAAAGGGCTCAAATAGCAACGGAGAGCTCCTCCCTCTGGCTAGATATCATAACGGAAGCAAGTGACTTACCGTCACCTTAGATGCCCCTGAAAGGGCTAGATATGGCCGGGAGAATGTGAGACCATACGGATAAGGACGATTGGCCCACACAGACCCTCCTAGAGCTGGAACACCCGTGGATACCGGAGAGCAACCGCGCTCTAGAGAGACTCTCACATTAGTTAGGTGCTAAATTAGTGCTGCATAGTTGTCTCATCTCTATTATCTGTCCTGGTGGTGAAATTAAGAGTGTGTTAATGAAAATACTCGTAGCTCCAAATCTATATACTATGTCTCTTGTAAGTTCATAATTGATTAGCCTTCTTTTTGTATAGTGTACTATCTTGTCTTAGTAGTGATAGTATGGAGGTACTGAACTATATCATGCGTGCGTAGTCTTACGAGAGACAAGATATACTTCTGCCTCCATCATGGTACTCGCTCCATTGCTCTTGAGAACTCCATTGTCTGCTATAGCTATTATATGATTGCTGATGAGGATACTGATATGTATATCATGATACTATAGCGAACTTCTCAAAGCAAAACATTACATTTCGACTAGTATCTATCACTATCGTAACGTGTATGGGATAACGATACTTATGCCATATGAGCAGCAAGTGAGTAGAGTAGCGGTAGCGTAGCTGTATGGTGGCACTCCTCTTATTCGATATATTCTTGTGACATTCGTCCGGAGTGTATTTTGCAGATGTCTTGTGCCATATTTTTTAACGCAATCATTCTATATACCCACTCTACATTCTTTAGTAGGGATCAGCTATCAACACTCTATATCCACTATAGCTATTTCCTGCTAGAGAGTGGTCGTGCCGTGAGAGTGTGTATGAAAGTGTGATTCATCTTAACGTATAAGCTCGCACAAGCGTTATTGTTACAGACATATTGGTATTACTAAGCATCAATCAACATTTCTTGAGGCGAGTCATCTGGCTTGCCTATAGACACATAATTATATACTCTCAGAGACTCGCTCCTATCTTAGATACCGCGACACCTTCTAGTTCAGAGTGTCTCAATATATAATAGACCATACCTATCACTCTCCAGACAGTTCTTGGCGCCTCGGATCTGTCCATATAGCCATAAACCGATGCCGGGCGCTGTAGCATAACAATCAAGGGGGAGGGGGGTGGGGCTGGGCTTTAAAAACAACATAAATACATATACAGGGAAACTTATGAAGTCTTCAAGCATTGTTATCATCGTCAATGCCATGATATCGATGCTTTCAAGCCTTTAACCAAATCAGGGATGATTGTCCTGATATTGATGATGTTCCTTATCTCAAAAGCGTATTTGAGGGTGTTCAGGATCTTATTGAAGGCGAGTTTATATCTTCTGGCCATGACATAAGTGATGGTGGACTGCAAGTTGGTGCCATGGAGATGGCATTTGCTGGAAATTGTGGCATTGCAATGGACTTGACTTCACAAGGGTGTAGTCTCCTCCAAACACTTTTTGCAGAAGAGCCTGGTCTAGTTCTTGAGGTTGGCAGAAAGAATTTGGATGTTGTAATGCAAAAGCTCAATAGCAGGGGGTTTTCTGCTGATATCATCGGACAAGTGACTACCTCACCCTTGATACAACTGAAAGTTGATGGGGTAACTCATTGAATGAGGAAACTTCTCTCCTTGGAGATATGTAGGAAGAAACCAGTTTTCATCTTGAAATGTTCCAAAGATTAGCTTCTTGTGTGGACTTGGAGAGAGATGGTCTGAAATCTGGGAAAGAACCTATCTGGAAATTGTCCTTTACTCCTTCTGTAACAGATGATAAATTTATGACTGCAACTTCAAAACCAAAAGTGGCTGTGATTCGAGAGGAAGACAGCAACGGGGACAGGGAGATGGCTGCAGCATTTTATGCTGCTGGTTTTGAGGGATATTACAATATCAGACCTTCTGAAGGGAGCTACATCACTTCAACAATTCCGTGGAGTTGTGTTTGTGGGAGGTTTTAGCTATGTTGATGTCCTTGATTCTGCAAAAGTCTGGTCTGCTTCCATTAGATTCAATCAGCCCCTTCTAGATCAATTTCAGGAGTTCTATAAGCAGCCTGATACTTTCAGTCTTGGTGTTTGCAATGGGTGTCAACTCATGGCTCTATTGGGTTGGGTTCCAGGTCCCCAAGTTGGGGGTTCACATGGTGCTGGTGGGGACCCGTCACAACCTAGGTTTATTCACAACGAGTCTGGTCGATTTGAATGCCGCTTTACTAGTGTGAGAATAAATGACTCACCTGCGATAATGTTCAAAGGTATGGAAGGTAGTACACTTGGTGTGTGGGCTGCCCATGGTGAGGGAAGAGCATATTTCCCTGATGATGGTGTCTTTGATCGCATGATTCATTCAAATTTGGCCCCAGTTAGTTATTGTGATAACGATGGGAATCCTACAGAAGTTTACCCTTTCAATTTGAACGGCTCTCCCCTAGGAGTAGCAGCAATCTGTTCTCCTGATGGGAGACATCTCGCCATGATGCCTCATCCAGAACGTTGCTTCTTGATGTGGCAGTATCCTTGGTACCCAAAGCACTGGTATTTGGACAAGAAAGGTCCTAGCCCATGGTTAAAGATGTTCCAAAATGCTAGAGAATGGTGTTCATGAGACAGGTTAGTCTCTTTTAATTTAGTTCTTGCTATAGTTTTCTGCATTAATTGATTTCTGATCTATGATTTTCTTTTTCCAATTTGCAGTATGGATCGTCATTTTGAATGGATGTAAAACTTTTGGGAGTCTAGAGGTATTTTTAATTTTTTAATAATTTTTTTGAGTATTTCTTTTTTCATATCTATATTAATATCTAAATTTTTAAATAATTAAAACTTGAAAACTTTCGAATTTTTAAAGTTAAAACTTTTTAATTTTTTTTTTCTTATCTATATTTATATACCTATACATTTCTGTGTACATCCCTCTATTGATACCGTTTCAATTTAATGATTTTCAGTCACAATATTTTTTTTTCTGCTTCTTTTGATTATTTTAGTTTCGGTTTTGTTTATGCTTTACAAATAATTTTCAGACATGCAGGAATGGCAAGCAGCAGCGCCTATTCGCTCCTCCTTGGCTGTTGCGTCAAACAGTCCCATGCTAGGCAGGCTAGTGATGTTACTACAGTTCATGCTGATATGGGTTGGAAGATCTTTGTTGATGGTGCCACGTTCCATGTCGCTGACTCTGCAGGTTTTGGTTTCATCATGGAGACAGATGAGGGTGACTTCCAGCAATTAAGCTGTGTCGGGCTACTAGGATGGTTTCTCTGCGCCAATTATTGCGGAAGCACTGGCTTTGCCTGCTTGTTTACTTTATGTTTGTGATCATTTTCCTTCACAGGGTACAGGTTTTTTCGGATTGTCAAGCCTTGGTTATGGCTTTTAATGCTTCTGATAACTCAGAACTTGGTTTATTGGTGTTGGATTGTAGGTCCATTTTAGCTTCTAGAAATGATGTTAAAGTTAGATAAGTTAGGAGGCAAGATAATGTGGGTGCTCATAATTTAGCTAGAGCATGAGATTCAATTCCATACTGTTTGGTAAATCTTTATTCTTTTAATTAATGAATTATGGGTTCTTCCCTTTCAAAAAGAAATAATTTTCAGATTTTGAATGATTTATTTTTCTTTCTTTTTCTTTTTAGATTTTTAAAAAAAAATTTTTTTTGAGTATATGTGAAAGAAAGAAAGAGCTATGTAACATGGATCAGATTTATGATTCTTATTATTATATGATTCTTATTATAATTATTTTAATATGATTTCATAATCCTAATTAAGTGGTTTTATTTATTTATTTATTTATTTATTATTATTA